AATTGTAGATCCAGGAACTTGGCTATGGAAGAAGAAAGATAATGGTTCATCATATCGGCTCAAAGATTATAAAGATCAACCAGTTGTCAATATTCTTCTTGATCTGAATGAACAAAAATAATATCGATAAAAATCTATTTCGTTTTTCCACTACATCGAATATAAAACTTTTAATAAAAAAATAAATATATTCTAGAGTACTGATAGAAAATATTACTGTGTTTTAATTTTTCCTAATAAATTTGAAAGAATAATGTTGTATTCAAGTCAAGTATTTTTCCACATGACAGATTGTTCATTTAACAAAAAACCAAGAATTCCAACTACATGTATGCTTAGAGATTAGTTGACATGTTAAAATTTCTAAATCATTAGTTTTTAGATTATTGTTGTATATCAATCGAATCATTTTTAAAATATTAGTCTGATGTAAAAGAATATAAAAATATGGGTGTGGGTGTGAGTGTGGGGTGTGAGTGTGTGAATGTGGGTGTGGGTGTGTGGGTGTGGATGTGGATGTGGGTAGAAATGCATTTCCACCCACACTCACGTCCACCCTAGATGAAAATGCATTTCTACCCACACCCGCACACCCATACTCACCCACACCCTCTCATTATGTTAATCGAATTAACATATGGTAATAAAATCATAAAAAAATATGCCTACTGCAAATTTTCAAGATCAACTACAGGTTGAATCGTGTCGATCGAAAGATCAGAAGGTTCTTGATTTCTCATAGACAAGAAAAATAAATAATAACTTTCCAATTATTTGGAATGATAAACGTTGTGTGGCAAAATTAATACGTCAGTATAGTGCTGAAAATTGTAGATTATTTTATGGTTAAGATTTACTTTTAATTTTTCTTTAGTATTCAATGGCGATCGTTACTTCATATGTCATTAACTATCAAATACATATCTTAGTTGAGTTGCACTGTTAGAAGAAAAAATTCTTTGCTCATTTTTTTCCATGATAATTTTATATTGTCATTTGTATTATGCAATCAGTTGAAGAATCAGACGAAAAGTTGAATTACTTGTTGAACATGTTTCTAGGATGTGAATTTTGTCAAAATCAAATTTTGAATAGAAGAAGTCGTGTTTCAGCTGGTTTCTCCAGCATGGTAAGAGGGATCGAAGTGAAACTTTTTTCGTATATAGTATTCACTATTTTGAGTGGGTAATATTTTCATTTTAAAAACTTCTGTTTTTGTGATTTTTGGCAACTTTCACAAATATGATCCTAAAGAAATAGAGTGTCGGTGGGTACGGTTTATGAAGGACTCCGCGCACACATATGTCAGAACTTTAAAAGCTTTGATATTCAAAACAGAAAGCTATGATTTCTTGTAAGAAACAGAACATTAAACCACGTCGATTTAAATGTTGATCGAAAGTAATTAACTGATTATTAAAAAAGTTGATTTTGATTTAAGAAAATTTATGCATATCGATGTTGTAGTCGTTGGCAAACATCAACTCACTAAAATAAAAAGCAAATAGACAAAGTTAGAAATTGTAGTTGTAGACAACAATTAATATCAACATGGATTTTCCTTATTAGTCCTATCGGATAGCTAAAAACAAGATTCACAGTAGACTAAACAAAATTACATTTCCCATAAGCATCACTAATTGCATTTCTTCGGAAGTTAATAACTTAACTACATTATATTAATTGATTTTTATTCTCTATCGTTTGTTATATTGCTCAAGACATGTTCTAGAATCATCAACATTTTTTATACATTAATCTAATTTTACACTGGTTCTATTTCGCTGAATTCAGATCACAGGATGACAACTTCTCTATAATTCAATCATTTTCGTTTTCGTCGGTTAACACTTCCAGTTAATAATACTTTATAGATCAATAGGTCCATCGGGCCATTTTTATTCTGAAATATGCAACTCACATATGTTTCTTTGTCTAAATATAGTAACACAGAGTAGGTAAAGCGAACAATCTTTCTCAAACTATCTTGAGGTGTGGGATGTGGGCATCTGTGTGAGTCTTCTCTTGATTCGCACTGACACCCACACCCACGCCCTCTAGCTGGAGGTTGCACATTATTATTGCTATTTAGATGAATGTTGATGAAACATTTTTGAAATTCACAAATAATACCCATATATTGTTTCCAAACGCATCCACATTTCGTACGAGTATCCGACAAAAAAAAATTAATGGATAGTTATTATATCTTTTAATTATATTTCATAAAATTAAAAACATAGCAAAGGAATCATCCATAAATCATAGCGAATTATGTGTAGCCAAATGATCTAGACGATAGCGAAGAGAAAATGAAATAGTTTTAATTTACTTAATTTCTTGTCTATAGCATCACAATACTTAAGTTTTTCATGTCGAATGGTTTCTTGTACAACAGTAAGGAGAAAACAATGTAGATGACAATGACTTGCACAATCAACTTTTACTTCATCATCAATAATAATTACTTTGATACATGTATTGTTTATATATACTGTTCTTGGATATCCAAGTGACACAATTTTTACATATTTTTGCTGTAAAATTTGTGGTTTTTGCGTTCTACTTATTTCAAAAATCATATTGTCTTTATGTTGTTTGGTCAGTTGTAGATTTTCTTCGATCAATGTTGCAATTTCACCAGAAGCTTCATTGATTGAAAGTATCTTGTTAGAAGCATATTTATCACATGTGGTGATGCCAGACATAAGACGACTGAATTTTTTAATAGTTTAGCGTCAACTATTATTATAATCTTGTTTTTTAATTGAATGAAATTGAATTTCATTTTTATATAATGCCAAAAATCGAAATACTTCACTATCAAATAAAAATGAATTGTCTCTTAACAACGGTATTTCACTAATTTGATTGATCTTTTAGAGTTCGAAGAAGTTTTCCAAGAAAACAAGCTGATGGTTCAGGTTTATAACTATCTGAAGGATGAAATTTAGTATGAATAGCAAACAATAATATATTAGTATCTTCACTTGATGAAAGGCTAGTCTAATTCAGTTATGAATCTCATGTCATAATAATTTTCACTACTACTCTACGGATTTTCTTTTTACTATATTATCTTCCATATCAGAAACACCCTCTAAACAGAGCATAACAAGAAAGGAAGTACAACCCGCATTCATTTTTCTCAGCTCAATGTTTCGTTCAAAGAATAAACGATTATCAAATATGCATCCAAGGACCTTGAAATCAACATAATTCAAAAATGAAATTGCATGAACAATTAATACGACATGTATAGATATGCAAAAAAATACACCTAATGACTCTTTTCTTTCGTTCTTCTTCTATTCTCCATCCATAATGAGAAAAAGGAGATAAAAAGAGCAAAACATAAGTAGTCATTTTTTGTTTCTCTTCTTGAGCGCAAGTAATACAGGTATGTGATAAATATAAATTAGGCAATCAATCTTGATTCACTGAATAAAACATCCTTTTTTTCAATCAAATATAAGAATAGCATTGTATCTTTATCTTTTGTAAAAACAAAAGTAAATGATTTAACTCTAGATTCAGATAGGACTTGAAATTTTGCAAGTAGCATGCTTAGATAAAGTTTGAAAAACTATTACTACGAGATTCAGAATCAAAACAATTTGCATGAGCAGTCATGCGACACGTATAGATATACAAAAAAATACATCTAACGACTCATTTCTTTCGTTTTTTTTCAATTCTCCATCCATAATGAAAAAAAAAAGAGATAGAAAGAGCAAAACATAAGTAGTCATATTTTGTTTCTCTTCTTGAGCGCACGTAATACAGGTATTCAATCAAGGATAGGAATGGCATTGTATTTTTATTGATTGTACGAAAAGTAAAATAAAGTAAATCGATGTAAAATCGCTTAAGTATTTTATCTGATAAACTCAAATGTAGTTAGTCAATTTTATTTGAAAAGTAAAGTGAATTATGATACTTTAAATTTCTTGTTGATGCTCTCATCCAACATCATACAATGATAATACTGCAGCATATCAAAATATTTGATCAAGAAAAGTAATCTGAAAACTATATAGATTCGAAATTTTGAGGCCATTTTTCGCCAAGCCATATTTTACAAGTCCAATCATCATTTTTGAGTGGCAATTATAGCATCAAATCGGTAAATTTTTAATGACTACTTGGACCTAGAGCTAGATCCCATATTTTAATTTTACATCAAGCTTCAACTGATTACTTTATAACGATGGTTGTGTGGAAATAAAAATATGTAGTCAATTTCTATAATGCTTAGCTATTTCCTCGAAATAGACTTTTCTGGTTAAAAACAATTGAAATGACGTAGTAATTATAAAGCTTTTAGCATGAGATTCAAAATAAGCTCCAAAGATTATGAGCAACTATTCTTATGCGGCATGAATCAAGATTTTATTGATGAAAAAGTAAGTTCGCAATTTCGAATTTCCGTGTCGAGCTCACTTTTTTTTTAATGGAGTAATGCTTCTGAAAATATTTTGATATGCTGCAGCATTATCATTGTATGATGTTGAACTAGAAAATGAACATTAAATTTACAGTATTATGATTAACTGTATTTGACTTGCTACAGTAAACATAATGTGCTGCCTCTGCTTAAGGAAAAATTTATATTTGATTGACACTTTGAATATAATCTCACTTTAGCCTTGTATAGAAAGTGTATTGTACTTTTTCGTTGCTTTATCGTACGTTTATCTATTACTATATACATATGTCTTAATAAACTTTTTTTTTCATCAACGTATAAGAATTTAGTTACATGCTCAATAATATTCTACTTGTCAGAACAAAATATTTTGACGTGACTTTTAAGAATCAAACGAGCTCATTGTTTCAGAGAATGAATATAAGCATACATTTTTGTTCGATCTGTTGTAGAACTCTCAAAATTAGCTGTCATGGACGTGCTCTCAAATTACGATATGGTACAATTCATAAGAGATTTTATCCCTCAACATGCTCTTCGAATCATAGACTATTTCACACCGTCGCTGAATATGACAAAACCGATTGAACATTATGATGCTGTGAAAGTTGTTCCACTTGAAACAGCTGTTGAACCGTTGGTTTCGTTGGTTCCCGATATTAAGGAAATGGTTTTCAAAGCGAAACAGAAGTGTGATCAACCAAAAGATGGTTTGACAATAGATGAATCTGCTTCAATTATGCTCTATTCATTGGAATGGGAACCAAGAGAAAAATCATTATATGTTATGTTGAATAGCACTCTACGCGCTGAAGATCGAGAAAAAATAAAACCATGGGAACTTTATATAAAACTTTTTGTTTCTTCACTTGAGAAATTGCCATCAATTTCTCGAACTATTTATCGAGGAGTAAAAATGGATTTGAGTGCTCAATATCCACAAGGAAAAACATTTGTTTGGTATGCATTCTCATCATGTACTAATTCAGTACAAGTACTACAATCCGAACAATTTCTTGGAAAGACAGGAACGAGAACTCTCTTCAATATTGATTGTGAATCCGGCAAAAATATTCAAAATCATTCATTCTTTCCAAATGAAGATGAAATCCTATTGATTGCTGCTCGAAAACTTCAAGTGGTCTCATGTCTTGATTCTGGCAATGGTCTTACCATTATTCAACTCAAAGAAGTTGGAGCAGACGATCCTCTTCTAGGATCTGCGCGTACAGACAGTACATCTTCTGAAGCGAGCACTGCATCAAAACCAAGTCATGAAGAAGATTCAGCAACTCCGGATCTGATCTCCCTTAATCCTCAAAATCTAATTCCGCTCAAGGACCCAAAGCTTTCGAATTTATCTGGTTTTCTATTTTAATTTATTTGTATATGAACACTAAGACTCTCAAAACATACAGAACGGCTGCATGTTCATTGCACTTTTAGCATTTTAATCATTAATTTCAAATAAAACAAGCTGCGCTTATCTTATTTTCAGGGATATTTTTTTTTGGCAAATACATCATATTATTATTCCCTCGAGTGTAGGAAGGGTCATGTAAAAATAGTGAAAAGAGTTTGTCTGTCTGTGACAAGGTCAAAAAACATCCAAGGTGAATATTTTTATAAAGGTTGACGAAAGCAAATCGAGATGGGAGAATTCGAATCTGAAGCCAGTTTGACAAAATTTTGACTTGAATTTTTACGGTCAAGAAAAAGAGTTTTTGAGAAAAGAACGATATCTTTTCAACTTTGGGAAGAGTCATGTGACAAAAGTGAGAAGTGTTTGTCGGTGTGGGTGTGACAAGGACAATAAAGCTTTTGAGATGAACTTTTTAATTTCAAGATTTTTGTACTTTAAGATGATTCTTACTGAAGGTTATCGAGGGCCAGTATTCTTTATCTGCGATCGAATTTCATACCCAGGCTTTATATCGACTAGAAAGCTGGTGAATTGAAAATGAGCTTTGCCACTTTAAACTTTTCGCTCGTTCTCATGAAACATTACTGTAGGTTGTCGAAGTTCACAATTCTGTGTCTGAGATTCCGTTGTGCATTCGACCTTTCTTTTGTTTCGAAATCCGACCGATCTGATACGGTTTTTCCTAAAGATTTACGAAAGTAACTTGGAAACGGTCCGAACAATCGGAGCTGCGATTAGTTTCTAAAAATGTCCACTTCTTGAAAGCACAGAAAACTCTTTTTTAAAAACAATTGCTCTTTTTGCATATATCTGTTTTACTAGAGAACAACTATGTTTTTTTCAGAAAACAATTAAGTGACAACAGTCGAATTCAAAATTTGGAAAAGCAAATTTTGCATTGGGATTGTTCGGTTTCGGTTTACTTTCGTCAATACTTACATAATATTCTTATTCTCGCCGAAAATGCTTTTTGAGACCCATTAAATTGAAATCAAAGCTTCAAGAAACTGATTACTGATTCAGACTTCCCAGGCACGCCACACTTTTCTTATCCTGTATAAAATACTGTTTCTGTCAGCAGAAAATATCCTTTTCTGCTCGAAAATCAGCTTCTGCCGATTATAGTACTAATAGTTATCGTCACCGTTGCGAGTGTGGCTGCGACATGTGAATACTGGTGTGAACAGCCGTTATGGTTGTGAGTGTGCATCTGGGTGTAGGAAAGTGCGACTGTTGATGTTCCTATACCTGTGAGCCTTGGCGTGAGTGACGAGAATATCAACAGCCACTTGCACAGACAGCATTCAACTCCTCCATCTTGACATGTAAACCTACACCCATATCTTACATCTGCATTCACACTCACATTCACACCTATATCCACGATACATAAATGTTCGATGGAGTCATTGAGATACTAACAGAAGTTCAAAATCAGTAAAATTTTCACAGAAAAGTGCCTAAAAGAACATTATGCAAAACAGAAAAGAGAAAAACATTAAATTAAATTGTTTGATTCTTATCCACTTTCAATTATTAGAGTTTCGTGAAAAGGAATGAAATAGGATCGATGTGAGAATCTCTTCCTTTTTCGATGTGCTCTGAAAAGGTATCGATCGGTGACATTGCTTTTCAATAATATTTCATATAAATGCAGAAAAAAACAAACAAAGATAAACTTTTCATATCACAGTTCAATATTTAAAGATTTTTATGAAAAAAATTTTGTAAGCGAAAGAGTTGCGCATACTTTTTTTATGAAGAGTTAATTTTTGTTCTGATTGAGGATGTGGGTGTGGATGTGAGAATGAAGTGAATGTCAAGCCCCAAACCCATTCACACACCTACATCCATCTACTGCAAGTTTTTTTCATGCGACAATGATTTAAGGAACTTATCAGATAAAATATTTAAAGTTCATATATAGTCTAAAGTCAGTATGTTCGACAGAATATTTTCCTTCGATTGTGTAAGCTTAAAAAATTATGATATAAAGATATAGCTCTGACAATGTCACAAAGTATCTTATTTTTTATCTTCTCATACATAATAAAACTGACAAGATGAGATTATGAGTTATCGATGGTGTGGATGGTGTTGAAATAGATATATCCATACTTCACAGCCACAGTCACACCCACACCCGCATTGACTTTTCAGAAGCTAAATTGACTTGAAATGACAAGAACGAATCAGTTTTCTTATATTGAAATAGCTTCAGAGAATAAAATCTAATATTTTCTTACTAGTCGATGTGAAAAGATGTTGACAAGATCAAAGTACATGATGTCATCAATTTATTAGTAATACGCATTTTTCATCATCAAAACTCAGTTTTTTCCAATTTTAACTATCATATTCGTATTCAATGTAAAAAATTGTATCGAATGCATATAATTATGATAGGATTCAAAAAAAAAGTTTTTTTCGACACTCCTGGGGGGACTACAGGGGAGCAAAAGGGTCATATTGAAATAGCACAAAAATAAGTGGTGGAAAAGACTCCGAATAGTACTCCAACATATTTCTAATCAAAAAAAAAAAATTGAAAACATTGTAGGCAAAAAAATGGCCTTACTGCAACATATCCTTTGTAATAAAATCAATAAATGAACGTTTCTTTTTTGAACTGAAACTTCAACTATTCCGTGATTCATTAAATTTATATCTATGGATACTTACAAATCAAAAATTCAGTAGAACATCTATAACTTGACTCTAGAGAGCTGCGGGTCCGTCCAGATCTGATTGTCACATTTAATTTATGGCCTGCTTCAAGTTCCTGTCCAAAAACATATGAACTTACAGCTCTCTACTTGATTAATTAACTACAAACTAATTTTACTAAGAATTTTTTTCTGATGCGACTATCTTCTTCATTAGAAATCAGTATCTATGATTCGATAAAAATAAAATACAATGTAAAAAAAGAAATTTCATTTTACCTTTCGAAATTCATGTTTTTCTTATTACATTTGGAAACACAAAAATCATATTAAGTTTCTGACAATGAAGGTTTAACTTTCATCATGATTTCTTTAACGAAAAAAGAAAAAACAATATATATAGAAAGAAAACCAATTCTATTGAATTTATTTTTTATCTCAACGATTTGATACTATTGGATATATCACGAAGTTAATTGAAATTTATTTACAATTGTATTTAATTTTCATTTTATTATTGTAACATGTTCATTCCAATGATATAAACAACAATGATATTTATATAATTCTTTTCATATCATCATCATATGTTATATCAATACATGAACTTATTTCAGACATTTCTCAAAAACAAAAATAAGAAATTCGAATATTTATATCTGTAATATTCATAGAGATATGGTATTTATCACGATTGATGAAATGCTTGAAATAATTGATTGATTAAAAAAATTTATAACTAGAAAAGAAAATGAGAGAAGGAAGGAGAATCCAGAACACAATATTATCTTCCTTTGTTTTATCGAATAAAATCTTTTGTCTACTCAAACAGACAAGCATGTCACTTTTTCTACTAATTTCTTATTTAGTTTGTTCTCTTTGTACAGATTTTTGGCATCTAAATTTGTAATAACAAAAAATAAAACAGCTACTTCTTTTTTATCAAAAATGGTGAATAACTTCTGAGCGTTTAAACGGATTGAATAACATAAATGAAACATCGAATTATATTCGATTTTTCTTGAACTATTTTCGAAAAATTTTATTTTATACGTTTATTAGTTATATTTTATGCATAACATTTATCTATATTTTTCTTCTTACTACAGCGAGATAGAGATTTTTCTTACAATGTTTCAACATCAATTCAGCACACAGTTATATTTTACTTTTGTAAAGGTATCATCCAACTATACTTTTAGTTTCTACTATACATTTCTAAAGAAGACAATTACCTAAGAAGAGTTCTATACATATTTTTTTTCAAATATATTTTGAAAATTAAAATAATGAGATTATTCATCTTGATTTATGAATATGTAGACGAGAAGATAATATTATGATACAAGATTCCAGAAAGCTTCAAAATAAAAACTATATTGTCTATTTCTATAAATATATATGTCATACTTTGTTGTTGTTAAAGAAAAATAAGAAATAACAATGAATTCATTGACTTGTGAACAAATGACAAGTACAGTTAGACTTAAAACTTCTTCAAATATCATATAACTAATATCTTATTGAAGAAATCCATCGCTAATATAAAATCAAAAATATATACCATGACGAAGATTCGTATCAAGAAAAATTTGTATATATGTTCTTTGGTTATAATTGAAATCCAAGGTGTTACTCGATGTCAGTTTAGCACTGTCATAGTGCATTTGAATGATATAATATTTAATGTTGAGATTGGCATCAGTTTTTATTTTTTTTTGCTAGTACGTGATTACTCAGAAATGTCTACGTATTAGCGATATTTATCGGATGCATCGGAGTCTTCATGTTTCAATTATCGCATAAACAATCAAACAAATTTTCATCGTTAAATTTAGCTGACACTTGATATCAGAACACAAATATATGATGTATAAGATCATAGTCATCTCACTTGATGAATATCTTGTGTTACACTCAGAATATTTTTCAATAAATAATAGGTGAATGATTTTTTTGAAAACTTAACTTGAATAAACTACTAATATTTCAAAAAAATGATTAAGAATATTGTAAATAAACTTCAAATGACAATAGATGAGAGAAAAATGATAATGATATTAAGCATTTAGAGATGAATAATAATGAAATTTAAAAAAAAAGAGACATTTTCTTTCTAACAATTGAAATCATTAGTAACAAAAGAAGAAGTCATAAGTTGAGTCAACATAAATCTCTTTTAGTATCTAAATACTTCTCTATCAAAAAAATTATTTATGTAGATCTTTTCCGAAATAGAAGCCTCTAATTTTAAAACGTTAAGTTGAACAAACATTTTTCTTTCTGGCG